GACCTGGGCAGACCCCCACCTTGGGCTCATCGAAGCTCCTGAATCTGGGACCCCCTCGTCCTGGAACTCCACTCCCCAACACCGGCGCACCCACCGCACTCCTCCTGGCCCCCTCCTCTCTCTGCTCCTCTTAATCTCCACCCTTCCCCCCTCCAAGAGGGCTAGGATCGTTGCCAAGGAAACAGCCCCGCCTCAGGTTTCTAGAGGCACCGCCCCTACCACCCAAGGAGCTCAGCGATTGGCCGGTGGAGCTCGTGCTCTCACCGTCCCACCTCCTCCCACAACACCAACTGCTGGGCGTTAATTGTCGCCAGGGAACGCGAGGCACCTTTCTGATTGGTTGGAGGGTGCTCAGGCCGGTTCCGCCTCCTCCTCCAGCAAGAAGTGCCTGCCGCAGGAGTGGGAGGGTAGTACCTGGCGTCTCCCCTCGAGCGGGGCCTGTGCTTTCAGAACTTTTCCCGCCCCCATTTACTCTTCACTGTGTTTTATCTTTCTGAAGAATGAAGGCAGGGCATCTGAGGACAGACACCCTTCCTCTCCCGGTCCCCCCCACACTCCCTTTCCCAGCACTTTTCTTCCTACAGGTTCCAGGTGCTGAAGGGGCCAGTCTGGGGACCCTCCTGCCGAGAGGAGGCTGCTTTCTTTTCTATTATTACCCTGCCTCTCCCCTCCTCCTTCCCCTAAACCCAAAGCCTGAGTTTAACTCAATCCCTAGGAGCCTTAGTCCCTGATACCTGGATTTTCACACAGGGAGGCAGGGATGCTATGGGAATTCCTTCCAGGTGAAAGTGATAGAGTTCAGGCGGGGAAGTGGACAGACAGCGAATCATGTGGCCTTTAAGGTAGCTAAGAAGTCTCCAGTCCTTTCTGACCTGGATAGATGCTTGTAGAGGAAGGGAACCTGAAAAACACTGCCCTAGGTGCAGCTTTGAATCAAGGAGAAAGTGACCCTGGAGAGACAAGTTAATAGGATCCAATTCTTGTCCCTTTTCTAACCTTGCTGCTAAAACTAGTTTGGCAGAGTTCTTGACAATTCATGAGCCAGAGTCTCCTGTCTGCATGATGCAAGAGCCATGGATTGTGTTTTGTTGCCTTCCCAGACAAATGAAGGGAAGAAACTGGTTAGGAGGAAAGATGCTATCTTCCATTCTCCAGAAAAGAGATGAGAACAAGAATTTGGAGAATTCCAAGTGGTAAAAACCTGGAGATAAGCAATCTCAATGGAGCTTACAAATAGAATCACAGACAGATATCTTCCTACGAATTAAGTAGGGGACCTTTCTGCCCTCCAGAGGAACAGCTTCCAGCTGCATGCCTCTCTCCCATCCCAATGTCTGTCTGTCCTAAAACCTGTGCTAAGAATGGCTCACATAGTCCAGCATTAGAGGGCCCACACAGGCAGAACCCCTACAAGTGCACTGATTATGGGAAGAGCTGGACCTGGGGCACGCCCTGGTCATCCCCAGCTCTCACACAAGGGAGAGACAGTAGTCTCCTGCATGAGACTTTTCTCTGACCTCTGACCTGCTTACCCACCAGAAAATTCACACAGGAGAGCAGCCATCTCCTGCAAAGTGTGTGGCGAGGCCTCCAGCCACAGCTCTGACATAGTCCACTGCCTGCACTCAGCATAGCATAGGCCAAAAGCCTCATGTGTAGCAGAAGTTGGGCCAGGGCTTCAAATTGCTTTGGCACCAGCCTTTCTGCATGGAAATTCAGCCTCACTAGTGCTTAGAGTAAGAATGGCCGGCTTCCAGACAGCGTCCTCCAGCACCAGTCCTGTATATGCAATGGGCCTTCAAAAGGCAGCCAGCCTCCGCCTACCACCTGCCCGTAGTGAGAGGCTCTAAGCACAGGGAAGCCTCTGATGAGGGTTCCAACTTGACCCAGCACCAACTAATCCAAGGCAGGAGTCCACTGACCTCATTGGACCACTGTGTCCTGGAGAGGAGGAGCCCTGTGTGTGTCCTGAGTTGGGCGGCCACTTTGTCCACAGCATCATCCCCTGGTGTGCAGCAGCACTGGGACAGACTTGTTCAGCACACAGCCAAGGCTTATGGTCCAGCTAACTTGGCCCACACTGCAGGCCCACACTTGAGATAGCCTTCATAAAGGTTCTCAGTGTGACAGGGGCTCCTGCGTGAACTGCTCCCTCCCTGCCTGCAAAGGACAAGCCCTCTAAGAGGCCTTCTATCAGATGCTACAAGAGATGCCCCAGTATATTCAAGAAGATTTGAGGTATCCAGGAAGAGATCAGCCATGGTACAGGCCCCTTTGGGAAGAACAAAGGAAATGGGACTCTGCGTATGGCTAGGCCATGCCCTGGTCTGACACATTTGGAACAGGCCCTGAGACCCAACCCTGCTCTTGCAAAGCTAAGAGCAGCTAGAAAGTAATGTTTTGTTCAGAGCAGTGGTTCTCTCCAACTTTAGCAGGCATAAGATTCCATCCCTGGAGATTCTAATTCAACAGGCCAGAGACAGTGCCCAGGGAGCTAACTACATTTTAAAGAGATACTGCATGTGATTCTGTGGCAGAAAAGGCTTTGAAAAATACTGGCCTAGAGCAAGTTTTAGCTTCTTTGAATCATAAACATCTTTGCACATCCTGGTCCTAGAAAGATACACATCAACAAACATTCCAAAAAAATTTAGGGATCTTTGATGTTCAAATCAATACTTACCCTTATTTTATATGGCTTGGATAAGCTAGGGATGGGCCATGTGGTAATGGCCTTGACCTCGCACTCTGACCACGTGGATGGGGCTCATTCTGTCTGGTGCAGACAAGCATTTCTCCTGACGCACCAAGGAAGCCCTAGGAACTCTTCCTGGCTTAAACCGTTTCAAGGTCTGAGCCTCAAAGACCTGTAGTAGCAGAGACAAAAGGGAGCCCTACCTTTGGTGGAAGTATCAGTACCAAGAAATGAGGAGCTAAGAATGGAGTGAGGCTGAGACTTAAGCATTTCATGACACTCAAAAATTGATTAAATGGGGGCCGGCCCAGTGGCATAGTGGTTAAGTTCGCGCGCTCTGCTTGGGCGACCCAGGGTTCACCCATCTGGATCCTGGCCGTGAACCTATGCACCACTCACCAAGCCAGGCTGAGGTGGTGTCCCACATACAAGAACTAGAAGGACATACAACTAGGATAGACAACTAGGTACTGGGGCTTTGAGGAGAAAAAAGGAAAAAAAAAATTGATTAAATGGTGGAAAGTTGGGTCACGAGGGCAGGAAGCAGGAATTGGGTCTGGTTTTGGGGCCCTAAGCAAGCCTTGCAAACTTCAAAGCGCTCAGAGAAAGCAGTAATTACGGCACCTTTCATTGGCAAGCTGAGGGCAGGGTCCAGATCTGGCTTTGAGGCTGTGCTGAGAACCGGTGTTGCAAGCTGGGCTTTCCCCAGGCAGCACTGAGGGTTAGGGGAGGGGAAGGGCTGTGCACTGACTTCTCTAGGGAATTAAAAACTTGTACAAAGGTAGCTCTGGCTGCCAAGGTACCTCTTCTCATCCCATGTCCTTGTGACAAGGTGGCATATGAGCCAATCCTCCCAGTAAAGTTTAGGGCCAGATTTGAAGATTAGGTTGGAATCAAGTCAGTTCATTACCTGAACAGTGTCTCTTCTTTTAGAAGTTTCTCCAGGTTGACAAATCTGGTTTCTTTCTAAGGTAGGCCAGACATGGGGCTGAGTTGGGTGAAGAAGGCAAGTGGGCACAGGCCAGCAGAGGACATAAGGCCCTGCTACTACTCCTTGAGGTGAAGGGTCATCTTGACCAGAGGCAGGAAAGGGTCTGCCCATGGCTGGTTACTTCCATCACCTAGACAAGGCTGGGCTCTGACCACAAAGGAATTAGTGGTAGATGGATAATGGAGTCACAAGGTGATAGGGGAGAGATTCTGTGCAGAGCTTGGGAATATAGGTAAGTGCAGTTCCCTCTGGCTGCTAACCCCACCTGTTCCTGGCCTGGTCCCCATTTGTTCATGATGCTAGGTACCTAAAGAGAGTGAAGATGCAAGCTTTGCTTTTGTTTGCCCTGGAACTCTCATTTCAGGTTGGTTTCTCCCTTGCCTTGGTCTGCTAGGTGGCTGCTTTGTCACTCATCTTGTACCTGGGCTTCACTCACACTGCGCTGCTCTGTCCCTAGTCCAGGTCAGTACCTTGGTGCCATCATAGGGAGTGGGCACATGCCTCCAGAACCCTGGCTGAGACACTGGCAAGGAACTCAGAAGTGGTGTGGTCAAGACAGCAGTAAACCAAGAACCCTGGAATCTCACCGTGTGTGTGACCTTGGACAGGTTGCTTGGGCTTCCCCAGTCTACAGTTCCCCAACTACAAAAGGATGGAAAAGCTAAGATCTCTTCCAGTTCAAAAATGTGACGAGGCCCTCCTGGCTGGGTCTAGGGTGGGTAAGGCTGGAGCCATAGGGCTCTTCCCAGGGAGGCCTGAAGAGGAGTGGAGGGTGCTCTCAGGGCCTTCCCCTTCAAAAACAGGAACAGCCAGTCAGCTGAGAGTAGTGCTGTGCTATGGCAGAAATACCAGTTGGTTTGGGCTAAAAGATTTCAGTCTTGACTGCCTCTTCCTGACTGGGTTGTCCTCCCCAAGCAAGATGCTTCCTTCCTCAGGCAGTTATGAGGATGAAATGAGTGGATGGACAAGACAGTACTTCGTAAACCATAAAATGCAATACAAGCAAAGATCTAAAATAAAACCTGCTTTTACTTCTCTTCTGCCACCCTTTCACATATATGCTGTCTACCTGAATCCCTGATTCAGGAAAACTTGAATGTTGTAGACCAGTATGCAAACTCAACTGACTAGAGGAGCACAATAGGTCATGCAAATGAGTGGAAAATGCCAGATGGAGAGGGCCTGCTTTGCCAGACACATGGACAAGCCATGAAGAGTGCCAGCTGACACCGGTCAGGAGCCGACTGGTGGGCATGCTGCGCAAGAAAGCACGGGCTCCACAGGGGGCAGCTGCTCCTCAGCTACCGCCAACTGTAGTTTTGTGTGAGCTCAAGTTGAGCTGCCAAATCTTTGAATTTTTCAAGAGACCAGAAACCTGGATTTTTGTGTCAAATATCCCAACTTTTAAATCTTAACCAATAATTTGTAACATTTTTTAACGCTAACTGGGCTGAAAAAATTAAGGCTGCTGCAGGCCAGATTCAGTGCATGGCCATCAGTTTTTAACTTCTGCAGTACAATGGGTAAAACAATGTTCTCCTCTACCACAATCCTCTTAACACATCCAAGCTGAGAAACAGCCTTTTCTTCCCCACAGTGGAGGTCTAACGGGGGTTCTTACCTCAGCCCTAACTCAGTAAACGGGGCTTCTAGATTCTGGGATAGTAGGAAGCAAGGTGTCAACAGATCAAGCTGGTGAAGGCCTAAGATAACATGGTCCTCATCTCTCAGGTCCAGCTCTTGCCAGAAATTCTGTGACCTCCCTGGAGCCGCCATAGAGGTTCAGGCCCCTGAGCCCAGCTTGGGCCTCAGGCAATGTCTAGATCTTCACCCTTTGCCTTGTCATCTTTAAGGCCATCACCCACACTCCTGGAATATCTCTGGGTAGTGCTGGAAGCCCACAGGTGGGTCCAGGTCCCCTCGGCCAGGGGCCAGGGGCACAGGCAACCCACTGGCCGCCCGGCCCCTGCGCCCCCTGGCACCAGGCCTATGGACCCACTGGTGCTTGGCCATGGCTGACTTCTGGCCGAAGCACCTGCCACACTGAGGACAGGGGTAGGGGCGTTCGCCACTGTGGGTACGCCGGTGGGCTGCCATTTCGGAGCTCTGTCGGAAGCAGCGTCCACAGTCTGGGCACGGGTAAGGCTTCTCGCCTGTATGGGTACGCACATGGCGCCGAAGGTCTGAGGCATGGGCAAAGGCACGGCCACAATCCAGGCAGGGGAAGGGGGTCTCGCCACTGTGGACCCGCTGGTGCTGGTAGAGGGCAGAGCTCTGGCTGAAGCAGCGGCCGCAGTCAGCACAGCGGTAGGGCTTCTCGCCTGTGTGTACTCGGAGGTGGGTGGTGAGGGCAGAGCGCTGAGTGAAGGCCCGGCCACAGTCTGGGCAGCAATGGGGCCGCTCCCCACGGTGGATGGCCCGGTGCTTGCTCAGAGAAGAGGCCTGGCTGAAGCCCTTGCCACAGTCAGGGCAACAGAAGGGCTTCTCCCCTGTGTGGGTATACAGATGCTCCACTAGGGTGGAGCGCCAGGCAAAACTCTTCCCACACATGTAGCAGCCATGACGCTGGTCTGCCCTTGGGACAGGGGGATGGGCACAGAGTGGGGGGCGACCCCGGCGAGGCGCCCTGGATGGCTGCTCTAAACCACTGGGGAACTCAGCAGAAGGGGGTTTGAGACCCTTCAGCCCAGGAGGCCAAGCGTCCACAGAAAGGATCTTCTCCAGTGCCTCAGTCCCTTCTCTTTGTCCTTTCTCTTCCTTGTTTCTGGAATCTGCTGGGAGATAAGGGGAGAGCTCAGACCCTGCCTTATCCTGGTCCATGAATCCCACACCCCATATGGTGACAGAGAAACCTCTTAGATACAGCCACCTTCTGGACCCATAGCTGCCTCTGGGACTCAGCTTGGTACAGGCAGGGAAGCTAGGAGTGACACCTTTTCCTCAGCTGCAAAGGACAGAAAGAAAAGCTTCAGAGCCAGAGAAAAGGAAGGAAGAGAACAACAGCACATTCTATTTCAGGGTTGGGGAAATGGAGAGGAAGATGACATTTTAGCTGGATCATGGAGGATGAGTGGAGGCTTAGAGATGCTCCAGGCAACAGGAACAGCACAAAGAGAGGCACTAACGTGGCTGGCATTGACAAGTTCAGAGGGGCAGGGCACTGTGCAACAGGATGACACGATGAACTGGAGAAAGAAAACAATGGAAGCCAAGAGAAAGGAGGCTGCTACAAAAAAATAACAAAGAGAAAGTAAACTAAAACACAGGAGGTGGCAGAGTAGCTGGAGTGTAGGAAAACAGCAGGAGGGGTGATGTGGAGCTCAAGACAGCTTAAAGACCACCTAGACGTGAAGGGCTCAGATTCGCAGGAGCAGGGAGTGGAAAGGCAGGTATGCCAGGGTTCTACACTCCAGCAGGGCCTGGGTCATACTCACAAGCCCCTTTCTAGGCTGAATCCAGAAGCTACGCAGGGACCAGGCAAAATAGCGTTGGCTGAGAAAGCAATGCAGGGAAGAAACTGAGAAGCAGGTAAAGAGTTGGCAAAGGGTAGCAGGATGGGTCAGGCCCAGAGGAAGTCCCCACGAGACAGAGTACCCAATACTTCACCTGTGTCTGCTTCTATCAGACACTCTTCCACCTCGGGATCCCGGGCATCCGGACCCCACAGTTCGGCCTCTTCCTCCACCCAGGAGATGAGGGCTGGCTTGGTGCCTCGGAAGCCTGGGGGAGAAGAACGCAAAACCTACGCTGCCGGGGGGTCGCCTCACGCGTTCCCGACTTCCCGGACCTAGGGCCTCCCATTCCACGTGCAGGACTAGTGGCTGGGCTGGGTGGCCGGGGAGGTGGGCCCCGGCGAGCAGGTAGGGCTCTCACCGAGCGCGCCCAGGTGGCCGTAGTTCTCCCGCATCACGTCCCGGTACAGCGCCCTCTGCGCGGGCCGCAGACACCCCCACTCCTCCGGGGAGAAGTACACGGCCACGTCCGCGAAGCTCACGGCCACGGGCTTTCTCCCTTCGCGCTCGGCCCCGGTTGGCTCCCGCGCGGGCAGCGGGGCCAGAGGCGGCGCCATGGGCAGTGCCAGCCCCGGCGACAGGCCAGCGCCGCCCTCCGTGCCCGAGGACGCCGGGAGAGCGGGCACCGGCCCCTCGCGGGCCCACGAGGGCGGCTACAAACGGAGAGGTGGCGGCTGAAGGTACCCAGAACCAGAACTGAAGGCGCCTTCCTCAGAAATGGCGACAGCGCGGCCTCAGGCACTTTGCTCCTGCGCAACCGTGCCCGGATGACGCCGCCCGGTGTCTCCAGGTTGCTTTGTCTTCGAACCCGCAGCCAAAATGGCCGCGCGGGAGAGGCTCCCGGCGCCCCCCACCCCTGCAGGCCAGCGGCCCGACTGCCCGGGGGGAGCGGCCGCACTTCCCGCGCCGCTCCCGGCACCCGCTGGCCCGGACGCGCAGCCTCAGCCCCGCCCAGGTCTGCAGGAAGGACCGAGCGCGGCGGGAGGTCAGCCCTGGCCACCGCAGTGCCAGCCCCGACCCGGCCCGCTCTGCCTGTGTGAATTCGGACGTTATTTTTCGTCGTCGGACCGTTTATAATTGGGTTTCGGCCCATCAGTGGGTGACAGCAGCCTTTCCCAATGTTGAGAGTAAAAAGTAGTGGGTAAAAGAGAAACTTCTCTATTGGAAGCTTGTTCAAGACCGAAATTCTGGGAATTTATTTCAGGATATCGGGGGGCAGCTGGGAGAGAGTAGGGTAAGGTCTGAGAAAGGTCAGAAGGACCCTCTTTCTGCAAGCTTACCCTCGCCCCACATGCCCTGCAGGATGCCTCCCAAACATCTATGTATCCCCCAGCTCAAGCCTGGCTCGGGAGCTCCTGATCACACAGACACCTGCAGCCTTGCCCCTGCGTGGATGTCGCACAGGCACCTCCCTCCCTGCAGGGCTCAAACTGAACTCATCCCTTTCTTCCCCCAACCTGCCCCTCCGGGGGCTTTGTCTCAGCAAATGGCACCAACTCTCCCCATCGTTTCTACCTCCCATCCTCCCCATTCTCACACATTTATGGATTCCCTACTCTGTGCCCCTACAAGCCTTCATAAATACCCTGCCCTAAGAAGACTTGACATTTTTCCTTTAGCCAGCTAAATCAGTCACAGCATTTCACACACTTCATGGAAATGCACTAGTCTGAGTCTAGTCTGGAGCGTTTCTGTTTGCCTCCTTCCAAAGGCTTTCCTGAGGCTTCTGCCTGACAACTTGTATCTGGTAGATGCTTCTCCCCACAGCCAGGGAAGCTGGGCAAGTAAAGAGTTGATCACAGCAGAAGCAGGGAAGGAGAAGACAAAACGTCAGGAAAGAGTAAGGATGCAGAGTTGCCCAGGGACTGGACGCCAGCGCTAGCTCTCCCAGTCTCACAGACCCCTGAAGGACTCAAGAGAGAACAAAATTTCCATTAAAAGTGATGGCATTTTGGCCGGCATAATGGTTAAGTGCGCGCGCTCCGTGGCGGCGGCCCCGGGTTCGGATCCCAGATGCGCACAGACACACCACTTGTCAAGCCATGTTGTCGCGGCATCCCATATAAAAAGTAGAGGAAGATGGGCACGGATGTTAGCTCAGGGCCAGTCTTCCTCAGCAAAAGGAGGAGGATTGGCCACAGATGTTAGCTCAGGGCTGATCTTCCTCACAAAAAAAAAACAAGTGATGGCATTTTGTCACTTGTCAATGCCCAGCCCTCATGGTGGTGCCTGTCATGCACAGGTGTGGGAGCTCTGGGTAGTGCTGGAAATTCACAAGGGGTCTGGACCCTCCTGGGGAATAACCTGGGGGCAGAGTTCACACCCCTGGGTTGGCCCCTGAGGCCCATGGCCCCCTGGTGGGCCTCTGGCTGAAGCAACTCCCACAGTGGGGACAGGAGTAGGATGGCTTGTCTGTGTGAGTCAGCAGGTAGCATGAGAGGTACTTGCCGTGGTGGAGGCAGGTGCTGCTGTAGCAGCAGGCAAAGGGTCCCTCTCCAGAGCCCACTGAGCTAAGTTAAAGGTAATGGTAAAGCGTGTCTGCACTCGGCAGGGATGAGGGTGCTATGTGAGTGCCATGTGTTGAGGCCAGACATAGATTGGGGGTTTGGGAAAGGCCTGGCTACAGGGAGCCTTGGCCACAGGCTCAGAGACCAGGTCAGAGTCTCTGAGCCCAGGGGCTCATGACAACTCCCTTGTAGACTCCTTCTGCTGCCCCCTTCCAAATATATCATTTTTCTGAGTGGCTGTTGGGAAACATGGCAGATTCAAAACTTACCTTTTGCCCTGTTACCTCTCCAAGGTCTACTCATGTTGAGGTGACAGAATGAACCTTCACAATGGCAGAAGCATTCAGATAGGTGCCTACCCCCTGGAAGCCTCCCCTGCCAGACTATCTTGGCCGATTGAGGGGTTCGCAAGTCAGGGACATTCCCACCCACCTCAGGACCAACCAGAGGAGATACCCTCAACCAGAGGAGCAGCTGTTATAGGGTCCAGAGACCTGCAGACAGAAAGGTGAACTGCCTCCATCCTAAACTTTAATTCACACACTGCCACTGACCTAGAATTTGGGTGATTTATACAGTGTGACCTGATCATGGGACCACTGAATGTCTCAGAGTCATTTAAGTAAGAAAGAGAAGGTCAAGATTCCAGTCTCCAGTGGATGTCATAAATTCAGGTCAGCAAAAATTAGTAATACCAGCAGTAAGGAACATGTAGATGGTGTTTTTTGCTCAATAAAACATTTTCCCTTCTAGCTGCAACTGGGACATTGCCCCCATTTCTCACTTTTCTGTCTGTCTCTCCTGCTTCCTCTCTCCTGGGGATCCTGAGCATCTGTACCCCAGACCTGGGTCACCTGCTCCACCCAGGAGATGAGGGTTGGTTTGGGGTCTGGGAATCCTGGAGAAGAACCGTAATCACTCAAGAAACGTTTCTTAAGATTACCTATGCCTTCATTTAATGAAAACATATTGGGCACCTCTTGTGTGCCAGGCATTGTTCTAGATGTTCTAGGTGCTGGAAACATTGGTGAACAGAGATAAGGTTCCTTACACTAAGCATTAAATTTACATTAAGGGAGAGAGATACCAGATATGAGCTCTGCTGGCACAGGTATGGAGACCTTTGGTTAGATTGTGCTCAGGGCTATAGAGAGAGACACAGAGCAGCAGTTCTGAGGAGACTTCCAGCATGGGGCAGAAGAGCTCCAGGAGGAATTTCTCGGAGGTGGCATTTGAGAAGGGCATTGAAGCATGTTAGATTGGAACTGTAGTGTATACAGAGCAGAAAAGGAGGAGCAAAGGCTCATTAAGCTAGAGGCCTGTCCAAAAAACAAAGATTCCATTTAGCTGGAGCTAAATGGGATCGCTCGCCTGTAGGAAGAGATCTCCTTTGAATTGGAGGAGGAGGTTCATATGCCATGGGCCTTTCTGTTGTGGTCTCGGACTTGAACTTTTGGTAGGAAGTCCTGGGGAGCCACTAGAGGAGTCTGGCCGGGGAAGCTGAGTTATGAATTTCAGTTGGGCTGATCTGGAGGGGATCAGGGTAAACCGAGTCATCCTGGGGCCGGAGTGGGGGCGAGTCACGCACCCGGTCCTGTCAATCCCACCTGCCCCTTTCCATTTTCAGAGACACAGGACGGCTGGACTTCACCGAGCGCGCCCCCAGGTGGCCATAGGTCTCTCGAATCACATCCCGCTACAGGACCCTCTACGCGGGCCCCAGACACCCCCGCTCCTCCGGGGAGAAGTACACAGCCACATCCGTGAACCTCACGACCCTCAGCTTTTTCTCTCCTCCGTCCGGCCCAACCTTCGCAGGCACATCCGCGCAAGGAGCAGGGAGAAAGGCTAGAGGCAGAGTCACTCCCCGCCACGCCCGCTCGTAGGAGGGATGCTGGGGATTCGGCCTCCAGAGAGTTGGGTCCCTCGGGGCCTGGAGGACCGGAAGTAACTTCGAGTGGGGCCGCTCTAGGACACGGGAAACAGCTGGTTGCGCGAACTCGGTGGTCCCAGGGCTGAAAAAATAAATGTGGCCCTCAGAAAAGATGGTGGCACTCTAGCTTCCTTCCATTTTAAAGAAACGCATTTAACAGCCTGAATGTCGCTCTGTGTTGATGACCTGGTTTAGTCACCCCTCGAGTTGTCTTCTCTTGCTGTTCCGCAAACTGCCTTGGCGACGCCTCTTGCCCACAGTTAAGATGGCCACAGCCGCTTCGGCGTCCGAGCTCAGTCTGGCGGGTGAAGGGTGAGGCTCGGGTGCGTGAGCGCGGGCGGCGGCGAGGGGTCCACGGGAGGGGAAAGAGCCTGGATTCACGGGGACGCTGTCCTGACGTTGCCTTCACAGTCCCCGCTAGAAGGCCCACTCAGTGACCTGGGCTTAAATATTTTTTTTGTGGCAAACTAGTTCATTTCTCAAAAATTTTTTTCATTTACCAGGTACAGAATAATGTTCAGTTAAGTCTCCTCTCACCCTATTCCTCTATTAACAGTTTCTTGAATATCCCTCCAGAGATTGTCTGTCTATTTACCTATCAGTGGTTTTTCCACACATTTACTAGCTCTTCTACTGAGGACACTGGGCCGAATGCCTCTTAATGCCTTAGAGTTCAGTCATTTTACAGAAGAGGAAACGAGCCCAGTTGTTACCCAAGGTCATACAGCCCATTAGTGACTCTTCTGGTCTTCAAGTCCTAAATGCGAGCCTTTCCCACCGTCGCGCGCTGCCTCCTCCAGGCCATTTCCAGAAAAGCAACACGAACACTTCAAATTTACTGACTCCCGCTGACCTGTGAAAACGAACTGGATTCTCAATTTATTATGATTGTATAAAAATTAGATAAGACAGGACTCATTTTAATGCACCACTTAATGTATTTCCCAATTCCAAGCTCTCCTAACAGAACAGGGCCAGGGCCTGTGGCTTAGCGGTTAAGTGCGTGCGCTCCAAAGGCTACTGGAGGCCGGGGTTTGGATCCTGGGCGCACGCTGACGCACCGCTTGTCCGGCCATGCTGAGACCGCGTCCCACATACAGCAACTAGAAGGATGTGCAACTATGACATACAACTATCTAGTGGGGCTTTGGGGAGAAAAAGGGAAAAAAAGGAGGAGGATTGGCAATAGATGTTAGCTCAGAGCCGGTCTTCCTCAGCAAAAAGAGGAGGATTAGCATGGATGTTAGCTCAGGGCTGATCTTCCTCACCAGAAAAAAAAAAACAGAACAGAGGCCGACTATTGCAAGAGCTGCCTTTGGTTCTGTGATATAATTAAGACATTAATAATACTAGCTTACCTTGATTGATCACTTACTATATGCCAGACTCTGTACCAAGTGCTTTGGCTTGTTAACTCATTTAATCTTCACAACACTTCAGATAGTGTGGAAGCAGAGGCACAGAGGGATTACCTTGCCCCAGGCCACACAGCTAGTAAGTGTTGAAGCCAGGATTCAAACCCAGGCAGTCTGACTCCAGAACTGTAACACAGTAATGCCTCAAATCATTGAAGGCACAATCTCAGCAACCAGAAAGAGGTGGGATTTTAGGCCAGGTTACGAAGATGCGGTTGTCATGTGGGGTAGTGCCAGAGCAGGGACCTAGGAGGTCAGAAGAGCTGCTTCTGGTCATATACAATTCCATACTGTCATATAAATATAAAGAGATAAAATTAAAATGACAGGCTATGATAAGTATTGAAAAGTAAATAAGAAGGTTATGTTTAAGAGTCGTGTCCTCGGGGAAAAAAATATGTCATTCGGGTGTTTGGGTGGTATTCGAAATTGCCCTGGAGGAAGAGTGACAGGCTTCACAAAAGTTATCCTGTGGCAGCTCTCACTGGTCTGCTCCTCTCGCTCAGGCCCTTGTTGATTTAGCCCTGGGGTCTCTTAGCTGGTCTCTGGGCTCCTAGCCTTTTGCCTTTGCCATCCATCTGGCACTGCAGCCTGGTGGAGGGAAAAGAGCAAGAGCATCAACTGAAAACTCGAGAGGTTTGGGTTCCAGGCTTACCTCTGCCACTAACTCAACTGTGTGATCTCATGTAAGGCCCTTGCCCTTTCTGGGCGGCAGCCTTTCTCAGAGCATAGTCTATGGAACAATATTTCCATGAGATGCTCAGTGGAAAGAACAAGCATTCTTCCCCACGCCCCTTGGAGAGTCCCCTCAACAGTGACACCTATTCCACCCTCTGCTTCCAAACCCTGCTTAACACATTGAACCAGACAGCTCCAAGAGCTCCCTTCCAGCCCTAACGTGCTGCAGTCCACCCTGTCGTCACCCCCAGGGCCACCCCATGAACTGGCTCCTCCATCCTCCTCCTCCCTCAGCCAAAAACCTTATCATCGTTCCAGGCTCCTCTGATGCTCTCGGCTCCACATCCAGCCCATGGACAGGCTCTGTCCGTTCACTTTCCAAGGTTCACCTCCAGTCCTTCTACTTTCCATCTCCACTCTACTTGCCCCACTGCAGTCCATTCTCAGAGCAGGCAGGGTGGGTTTTTAAAATGCAAATCAGATCACCTTGACACTTTGCTTAAAAGCCCCCAGTGGTTTATTTGAGTAGTCAAATTCATAGAGACAGAAAGTAGAATGGTTGTTGCCAGGGGCTGAGGGAAGGGGGAACAGGATGCTATTTTAATGGGTACAGAGTTTCAGTTGGGGAAGACAAAAAAGTTCTGGAGAGAAATGGTGGTGATGGTTGCACAATAATGTGAATGTATTTAATGCCACTAAACTGTACACTTAAAAATATTTAAAATGGTAAATTTTATGTATATTTTACCACAAAACAAAAACAAAACAACCAAGTGGCTTCCCAGTATATTTAGAATCAAATCCAAACTTCACATCATCACAAGGGGGCAAACAAGAGCTCTAGGACCTACCCCCTTCCCCCGCTCCAAGCTCATCTGTAAATCTTCTCCACTCAGTTCCTCAGTCCAGCCACCAGTGTCCTTTCTGCACCTTACCCAAATTCATGCCTACCTCAGAGCATGGCACTTGCTGTTCCCTCTGGAAACCACCTCCCCCTCCCAGCCCTTACCTCCCTGCCCCCAGCCTCTGAAACCCTGCCCTCTCCCACTCCTACATCCTGCAACCTGACCCGTTTGGCTCCTCATCATTTAGATCTCAGCCCAAATGTCTCCTCCTCACCAAGGCCTGGTCTAAGAATCCATTTGCAACAGGTACTTTCAGCACATTGTCTGTTTTAGTTCTTTAGTAGTGCTTATTATTTGCAATTACACCACTTCATCTTATTTATGTACTGGCTTATGGCTTGTCCCCACCCTACTCGAATGTAAGCTCCAAGACGACTCCTATGTCTGTTTTCCCCGCTATAACCTGGCACGTAGAATAGTACCTGGTACACAGTCAATGCTTAGTAGATGTTTGTTAAATGAAAAAATGAGAGAGAGCGAGCAGACAGCACTCACTCTATGCTGACCTGGGCAGCTCAGTGCTTCAGGCACTGGGCCTGGTTCTGCTCCCCCCTCCCTGGTGGCACCTCCTCTCTCCAGCTCCACCTTCTCTTTGACTCTCCCCTCTCCAGTACTGGTCACCCCTTGGCCTTCACACCCTCCCACTACTGAGTGCTCCTTGCCCAGCACTCAGGCCCCCTTGCTCCAGCTCTCCATACTTGAAACCTCTGGGACTTACTTGTTCGCAGCTTATATTGTCACTGAGCCATGCAGATTCTATGGCAGAAGCCTCTTATGAATATCTTTCTTCCCAATTCTAAGGTCAGCAAACAAGAGCAACTTGGAGAAAAAGTCTTGCTTTTTAGCTTAGTCTAGCTCCTGATCACTCCCACCTGGAAGCAGATGCTCAACAGATGTCTGGTGTCCAGTCTTCTCCCACAGGTCACGCCTCACACTGCTTTACAGACATCTTCTGACAGCACCTGTCAAACAGCCCTGCTCCTGCTCAAGAACTTTCTATGGCTCCTCATTGCCTACAAGCTCATCTATTGGGATCTGTGGCCCTCCCAAGACTGCCCCTACCTTCCATTATTCTTTACTTAGTTCTTTACGTTTCAGTCAAGGGGAACTGCTGACCATTCCCTCTACATGCCCATCCTGATTGAAGTCTTTCTCATCTTTCAAGGCCAGTTTGAACCACCTCCTCCAGGAAACCTTCCTTGATTCAGAAGACCTGCCCAGGTCTCCTGTTGGTCCTGTTCAACTACTATTTTGCATTGTATTAGAATAACAATAACCAATGCTTATTAAATGCTAATGTGCAAGGCCCCGTTCTGTATTATCTTATTTAATCCTTACATCAATCTTATGAGACAGGTGCTATTATTATCTGGGGTTTATAGATGAAGAAACTAAGGCACAGAGAGGTGACTTGGGGCAAGAAGTGACTTGCCCAAGATTGCACTACGATAAAGCAAGTAAGTCAGGATCTGAACCCAGACAGTCTGACTCCAATGCCCATGCTCAGAACCTCTACTCCACACTGTGTCCATCTCTTATCCTTTCTATGAAACAAGGCTCCCTTGCTGCTCCTTCTGCCTGAAAATCTCACCACACACCAATTCCCATGTAATGCTATGGGGAACACAACCATCTCCTTCTCCAAGCTGCACTTCCCGGCATATCACAAACCAGGATGGGTTAGGTGGTGCCTCTGGACTTCCTCCATTAAAGCCCCAGTCACTCTCTTCCCACATGGAATGTGGCACCTGAATCAGCATGTCCCTGGAGCCTAGCACGAAAACCCACAGAGGACTTGGTGTTTGGTGAATGAATGAATGGGGTCAACCTTCCTCATCCCAGAATTCCCTTATCACCTGCAGTCTCTCCAACAGAAGGCATTCAATAAATGATCATTGCATGTTGACTGCACTTTCTAAGTGAAAGTTCACTGGCCTTGGTGGAGCTCTCAGTTTCCTGCTGAGTGTCCCCTAGACAGGCAGGGCTGGGTCCTGCATCCTGAGAAGCCACCCCTAGCCCCAAGGGGGAGGCCACTCTCTGGCTGAGAACTAAGGACCAAAAAACCTTTTCCTGCAGTGGCCCTTGTTTGCTGTCTGGCTAGCTCCCTGCCCAGAACTCTGTTCTCACCTCATGTCACCTGTGAGCCTCTGACCCACGTTCTGCCCAGATATGACTGTTCAGAGGACGTGGTAGAAATATCTGGGCTCTGTGTCAGTTTCCAGCATTGCTGCCTTATAGCAGTGAAACTTTGGGAAAATCACTTAATCTCTCTGAGCCTCAGTTTACTCATCTGCAAAACACGGCTACTGATATCCATGCCCTGCCTCCTTAGCAGGCTTCTTTACACTTTCTGAAGCATAAAATGTTGACAGTAATTCACTCAACAAATGTTTATTGCACATTTACTATGTCATACATATGATGTTAAAATTTCAGTCTTCACCGTAACCCTTTGAGGTAGATATAATTGATCCTTATTTTACAGATGAGGGAGCTGAGCTCAGGGCGGGTGTGTGACATACCAGCTGTGCCTTGGGGCAAGCTGCAGAGACTAGATCTGTGCCAGGTGCTTTCCACTCTTTCCACCCACTTCACTTCCTGGGCTTCCTGCTGGCGTCAGTTAGCTGGGGCTTGTCCATGCCCTCCTCCATCTGGGGCCCCCTCTCCAAGTCTTAGTCCCCCTCTGCAGTTACCTCTGATGTAGATAAGCAACAAGGGGATTTTTTTTTTTTTTTTGACACAATGGAAAGATGTTGGTTGCACCTGCTACTGAGATAACACTTGAGAGAGGTCCAGCATCTCACTCTCTTCATTTTTCTAGAAAGACTGGGGAGAGGGGTGTCAAGTTTAATCTATTTGAATCTTTACAGGCACTTTTCTTTATACAAGTTTGGATACTTGAGGGATCCTTGAGGGAAGCCCAAAGGATGAATTTTGGTTCCCAGATCCCTGACCCAGTCAGTCCTTAGCGCCGAGGTCAGGCTCAACCCCAGCCTGCAGGAGCTGCTCACCCGCATTCCTCAAAGATGTCTGGGTAGTGCCGGAACAGCACAGGCGGGTCCCGGTCACCCCGGACTGGGGCCCGAGGCACAGCCCGGATCCCAGGCCTCCTGCCCCGCCGCCCTCCAGAGCAGGAGCGGTGGATCCACTGGTGTGCTTCCACTGCGAATTTCCTCTTGAAACGCATGCCACACTCGGGGCAGGGGAAGGGCCGCTCACCAGAGTGCATGCGCCGGTGGCTGACCAGCAGCGAGGGGTAGGTGAAACGGCGGCCACAGTCTGCACACACGTGGCGCCGCTGGCTGGTGGGAGCATCCACGCTGGGCACTGGGACCGGGGGCTGCACACCTGTGCTCTGGTCCCAGGCAGCTTTCATGGGTGGTTGTGCTCTTGCCAAGGCCTTGCTGATGGTTGGGTCAGGGTTGTGCTGAATCAGCTCTTTAGGCCACTCCTTCCCAGAAGTCTTTCTGGGTCCCTTGGCTCCTGGCCCTTCCTTGGGTTCCTCTTCCTTCTTGTTTGGGGCCTCTCCTGGGAAACAGGAATTAAGTTACATTTTACAACACATTTGCTTAGACTGTCTCAGGTTATAGGGTGCTGTTACTTAGGGAAGTGCCAGAAAAGTAATGCCCTGATTAACACACAGGTTTCGAAGGAAGATAAACAAGGGTCAAATCTCTTAAGAATGACTTATCTGGGCCTTGATTCCTCATGTGTCAAATGGGAATCGATGGTTTCTTTACTTCACAGGGTTGCTGGGAGGATTAAATGAGTAGAAGCATGTCAAGCACTTAGTAAATGCTCAATAAGCAGTAGGTATTATTATTGTGGTTTCTTGATTTTTTTGTAGGGTAAGACTTTTACAGATGAGGAAATGTTTTTGCTCAAAATCACTCTGCTGAGGGATGGCAAGGGGAGAAGAGACAAGTTGTCAATTACTGGGCATATTCTCTCTGCATTGCTTGAGGAATGTGAAAGGCAGACCTGAAGCCACTTTCATTCTTAGAGGGTTTTAGTTCCTCAGAAAAGGGAGAATGAGTGGTGTTTTCTATGAGAGGGACCTGGAAACCTGAGTCTTAGACTTGGGCTCCTGATTCTCCTACTTTGGTCTCAATATAACTACTGTCCTAAGTTCTGAAAACTTGTTAGCAGGTCTGCCTTCTTTCCTCCTCTAGTATCCAACATCGGTTGGATTCCTTTAGGGATGCTGGACATGGGGATCTGAAAGAAATCATTGCTAGACAGGAAGCCCTGGAGCGCCAGGTGCGGGGAGACTTGGGACTATCCCTCACCTCTCAGAGCTCCTCCCAGGCTTTCCCTCTCCTCAGGATCCTGGGCGGCGGGGCTCCAAGCCTCACTCTCCTGTTCCATCCAAGAGATGAGGGCTGGTTTGGGGCCTGGGAATCCTGGGAGAGAACAGGGATTACAGTGCTGGCCTCAGAGGCTGCCCTGGGAAGACGGCAGCCCCTGCCAGGGTGAGGGCACCTCCTCAGAACTTATGCTGAACCTGGACAGGGTCTGCAATGCTCCTGCCTGGAGGAAGTGGATGCGGGATGGAAGTTCTCCCGAGGGGGTATCTGAAGCTCTGGGAATGGGGGATGGCTGGTGCTGTTGGTGGACTAGTGCGGGACTAGGGCTCACAATCCTCTCGGTCCTTCTCTATCATAACCCCTGTAAACCCCAGTGAAGGAGGAGGGGGGTGCTGACCCGGGGCCTCACCGAGCGCGCCCAGGTGGCCGTAGGTCTCCCGCATCACGTCCCGGTACAGCGCCCTCTGCGCGGGCCGCAGACACCCCCACTCGTCCGGGGAGAAGTATACAGCCACGTCCGCGAAGCTCACGGCCACGGGCTTCTTACAACCAGTGCGGGTCTCCCCCGGCCTCAGCGCCAGAAGTGGAGCTGGGGGCGGCGCCATGGGGCTTCCCGGCCCCGAGCAGCGGCCGCCTTGTCCCCGGTGCCACCGCCTCCCCGCTCCCGGCCTCAGCTTTCGTCGTCCACAGGAAGGGCTCCCGAGGCCGGGGCCCCGCCCAGCCCTGGCGTCCGAACGCAGCCGAGGAACCGAAGTAGCGGAGACCAGCTGTTAGGAATTCGGGGATTCTGATGGGGACAAATAAACCCCCTCGGTGTTTATTCGCCTCATGGCAGCTTGGACATAGACACCCGGGTTAAGGGACCCGGAAGGTGCCTTCAGAAAATATGGCGACATCCTGGCTTCAGTGGTCACTGGCTGCTCTCAAGGGCGCCATCCCTTGATCATATCAAACATGGCGCCTGTCTGGCATCTCTGGCCTCATGGTCCACTTGCCCTTAAATACAATGGCTGCCGCATGTGGGGGATATTTTTGTTGGGGGAGGGAGGAGAGGGACCGGAGGGGAGATCGAGAGAAGCTTTCTTGCCTTCAAGATGGACCGGCCCGCAGCTTCTAGCACCTCTCAGCCAGCCCTGCGCAGCTGCCGATGGTTGGCCGCGATAGCAGGAAGCGGGGCGTTGGAAAGCGTCCGAGCCCTGACTCCTCGGTCGGCTGGCTCTGGAGCCGATCGAGGACCTCGGCATCTCTGGAGCCTGGGATTCTCTCCCCGACGGTCTCCTTTCTTGCCTCCCGACAGCAGGATCTGGAATCCGGTCCTCAGCCCCTGCGGGAAGACGCACACACCCTGGCCAAATCCTGGGGACTGTCGAGGTAGAAACCAGGTACACGTTTCCAGCCCGAACCACTGCTGCAGAGCCCACCTGACCCCTTGCGCCTGTGGCTCGGCTGGCTCAGTCTCTGGACCGGAGCTGCAGGTGAAGGAACGAGCTTGGTAAGGCTGGAATTGGTTGGGGAAATTTTAAATTACATTTTAATTTTTTTCCAAATTCATTAATGTACATGGGTTTTAAAAAGTAATACAGGGCCGCCCCGGGGAGTAGGGGTTAAGTGCGAGCCCTCTGCTGCTGGCGGCCTGGGATCGCGCCCGTATGCACCGCTTGTCACGCCATGCTGTGGCGGCGTCCCATATAAAGTGGAGGAAGATGGGCACGGCTGTTAGCCCAGGGCCAGTCTTCCTCAGCAAAAAAAGAGGAGGATTGGCATGGATGTTAGCTCAGGGCTGAT